CTAGCCGGTGCGTGGCGTGTCGTGATACGATGCGTTGGCGTTCTAACGTACCCACAGGCGACTACGGCGCGAGACTTCGAAGTTCCAGTCGCAGGCGATTTCCAGGAGACGGCGATGACATTCGATTCGATTGGGATTCTGGGCGGTGATGCGAACCAGAAAGCCTGGCGGAGCACGGGTCGCGGTGGTGGGCACCGTGGGATTGGATGTACATACGAAGCACAGAAATATATCTGTTAAGCAAACGACCGGAGAGAATGTGTGAGATGGAGATGGAGATGAGGCAGAGAGGGATTTTTACAGCTGTCCTTGATTGTATACTGAAGTTAAGTCCGCCATTGTTTCTCACTCACAAGGCTCAATGTGATTGGCATGCACTGTTCTACACTATCAAGAGCTGCACAGAAGGGCAGGGCTATTGATCATCCAGTGTGGCTCAGGTTGGAAACCTCCCAGCTCAACTGCATGGCATTACATGGGGGTCTGGGTGCGAGGCTGGGCAAGGAAGACGTGTAGCGGAGTTCTTACAATCAGTGCGGCAGGCAGTTCTACCCGAAATCTTCAATCCTTGATAACATGTTACAAGGTCACCGCTAAGATCTCCCGCACCGGGGGCATGGGCCCATGCTTCCGCCCGAAACATTTTGGACACATTGTAATAACAGTCCAAATAATTACGCAATGTTTTGAGCACATACATTTTGAAATCATTTTGAATGTTTTAAAATGTTTTAAGCATCAACATTGCGGCACAATTTGGATAGCATTCATAAAGATGCAAGAATGAGACCCCAATGCTGCAGATGACAGCATTCAAGCATTATTGCAATAGCATCGTAAATATTTCTTGGGAGAAAATCTCAAATGATATCTGTGAGTGGCCATTATGTCTTCAAGATGTTCCCAATGGGTTCATTGTGATCGCATAATTGTTACTACTATATATAGTAATGTGCTAACCATATTAGGACATCCCCGATGCGTTCAAGATGATTCCAGCCGGCACATGATGGAAAGCATCTGGTACTCATCGTAACATCATGTTGATCACATTTGTAATGTACCCTTAAGATCCATTCAAAATGATACCAATATATTATATGAATGCTGGCCAGAGCAAAATCGTTGTCTCATCCTGGTGTCTTTCTGAATAATATCACTATTATTCCGCAATGAGCTCACTCGAGATAATTCAAATTATTCTGTGATGTTTACATCAGTAACATTAGATTTACATTGTGACTGTTATTGTGATGTGTCCAAAATGTTCCCGGCGGAATCATGGGCTCATGCCCCCGGTGCCGGTCTTTCGCAGGATAGGCGCCGGTCACACATACCCACGGTAATGGGTAACCTTCGAATTGGGTCTTGATGAGTGACATGTGACATTAGAGCAGGTTGAAATATTGCAGATCAGCGGACGATTCATCGAGCCGATGGCA